TTTTTCTTCAGAAAGACCCTTCATCATTTCATATAATAACGGTTTGGTGGTGATGAACTCCTTTAACTTTTTCTTGTCTGGGAAAGTCTTCATATGGCCATCGGTTCTAAATGACAGCTTTGCAGGATAGAGTAATCTTGGTTGTAGGTTCTTGGTTTTCATCACTCTGAATATTTCTTGCCACTCCCTTCTGGCCTGCAAAGTTTCTTTTGAGAAATCAGCTGACAGCCTAATGGGAACTCCCTTGTAGGTAACTAGCTGCCTTTCTCTTGCTGCTTTTAAGATTCTCTCTTTGTCTTGAACCTTTTGCATTTTGATGATGATGGGTCTTGGTGTGGGCCTCTTGGGGTTCATCTTGTTTGGGACTCTCTGTGCTTCCTGGACTTGTATGTCTGTTTCCTTCACCAAGTTAGGAAAGTTTTCTGCCATTATTGTTTCAAACAGGTTTTCAATTTCTTGTTCTGTCTCTTCTCCTTCTGGCACCCCCAAGATGCGAATGTTGGCACGCTTAAAGTTGTCCCAGAGGCTCCTTACACTATCCTCATTTTTTTGGATTTCTTTCTCTTTTTGCTGTTCTGATTGGGCATTTTTTGCTTCCTTGGATTCCAAATCAATGGTTTGCTTCTTGGATTTATGTACTCTATTATTGAATCTGTGTAAATTATTCTTTATTTTAGTTAAAGCCTCCTTCGTTTCTAACTGTGCATCAATCATTTCTGACTGGTCCTTTTTAATGCTCTTGAGGCCCTCACTGAGTTCACTGAGCATCCTTACAAGCAGTATTTTGAACTCAGCATCTGTTAGGTTGCTTATCTTCATTTCACTTAGTTCTTTTCTTGGGGTTTTGTTCTGTTCTTTCATTTGGGACCTGTTTCTTTGTCTCCTCATTTTGGCTGCCTCCCTGTGTTTGTTTCAGTGTATTACTTGACGAGAGATATGGGGCTAGCTGAGACCAGATGCTGCTTGTTTGAAAGAATTTAGGAAAACCAGAAGCAGGATCCAAGACAGGCCACTCCTATGGTTAAGCAACTGGCAAAAGCTTGGTGGGCCTGAAAGTTGGGTGGGGTGGGGCGGAGCCTCAGGGAGTCACCAGGGCGGGGCTGCCAGTGTGAGCCAGGTTGCTGGAGTCCCAGAAATGGCTTCTGTCTGCCGCCCCAGGGAAGGGCTCACCAAAGGAACAAAGGCCTGTGACTGCACATTTGTCCCGGAGAAAGCCCCCTCTCCAGCCCTCGCTCCAGTGCCAAACAACTCAGTTCTTCCCTGTATGTCTCTGGTGCCCCTCGAGCTGCCTCCCCTCCAAGCTTACAGAGAATGAGTTCAATAAGTTTGTGCGCGGGCCCTTTAAGGAGCTGCCTGGGGCTCCAGCCGCATTAGCTTCTCTGAGCCTCAGTTCCTGCTGGTTTTTCCAGCCAGAAGTTATGGGGACTTCTCTTCCTGGCACTGGAACCCTGAGCAGGGCACCTGGTGTGGGACGGGGACCCCTCAGTCCTCAGGAAGGACCTTCCCAGCCAAGGTGGCCTCCTGATTTTTTTTTTTTTAAATGAATTTTTATTTATTTTTTTGTTACAGATATTTTACCTTTTTACCCCATTGGCACCCCCCACCCCACCCCCCCTCCACCCTGTCCCCGGCTTAGTTGTCCATGTCCATTGGTCATGCATACATGCATATAAGTTCTGTGGTTTATCTCTTCCCACCCCCCCACCCCCCATCCCCTCTTCTGAGGGATGTCAGTCTGTGCCCTACTTCCATGTGTCTGGGTCTACTGTATTCCTCAGACTGTTATGTTCATTATATTCCGTATATAAGTGAGATCATGTTGTATTTGTCTTTTTCTGCTTGGCTTCTTTCACTTAGGATAATACTTTCCAGGTCCCTCCATGTCGTCTCAAAGGATAAGAGATCTTTCTTTCTTACCGCTGCATAGTACTCCATGGTGTATATGTACCACAGCTTTTTTATCCATTCGTCTACTGGTGGACACTTGGGCTGTTTCCAGATCTTAGCTATTGTAAATAGTGCTGCTATGAACATGGGGGTACATATATTCTTCCTGATTGGTGTTTCAGGCTTCTTAGGGTATATTCCCAGGAGTGGGATCACTGGGTCAAATGGAAGTTCAATTTTTAATTTTTTGAGGTAGCACCATATTGTTTTCCATAGCGGCTGCACCAGTCTGCATTCCCACCAGCAGTGTACTAGAGTCCCCTTTTCTCCACACCCTCCCAACACTTGTTGTTTGATGATTTGTTGATGGCGGCCATTCTGACAGGTGTGAGGTGATACCTCATTGTTGTTTTAATTTGCATCTCTCTGATGATTAGTGATGTTGAGCATTTCTTCATATGTCTCTTTGGCCTCCTGATTTTTATCCGCCACACGTGAATGTGGGACCAGCCCGTCTCACCGCCGACTCGCTGCCGTGCCTCCGCCCCTCCTACCAGTCTGGATGCAGCTTCTTTAATTCCGTAGTTGTAGGACTTCCATCCAGCTTGATTTCAGGCGGTTTTGAATGATGGTTGTTCTGTAGTTTTGTTGTAACTTGGATGTGATTGTGGGAGGACGCGATACTGCGCTTACCTACACCGCCATCTTGACCAGAAGTCCCTGAATCGTTATGTTGGCGGTACACAAGACCAATACGGTACTTCCCACCCAGGCCCCTCCCTCCAAACTGCTGACCCCTGCCTGCATTCCCCACCCCTCACGTTCTGCCTAAAGTTCCACACCCCACAGATGGAGAGCTCTATTCTTCTCTAGCCAGTTTATTCCTGTTAGCTCTTAACGTCCATATCACTGCCCTAACCCTCTCAATCCAAGAAACCAAAACCCATCACTCTTATCATTTAACCTTTCCCTGAGCCTCTCATTCCAGAAAACTAAAACCCATCACTCCAGTCAGGAGGAACTGAATGATGGAACCACCCTAACCCACCCCAAACTGCAAATATATAGTCCCTCCTCAAGAAAAAGAAGTTTCAGGAGACCCCAGTCCCAGACCAATCAAGAACTTGGGAGTCCCCAGCCCCCAACCAATCAAGAACTGGGGAGATTCCGGGGACCAATCAAAGACGACCTCAAAGACGACCTCATCTCCTCCGCTAAAGGACCACCCTCCAGCCCTGAGTTTAAAAATCCCTAGTCTGTACAAACCGGTTGCTACTCTCTCCTTAAAGGTAGTCTAGCAGGCTAATCCCCAATAAACCTGCATTTCTGGAGACCCTGCACCGCCTCCTTCCACTCTTACAATTCCAACTAGCTTCCCGCCCTATGGCAGCTATTTTCTGTAGCCCAGCTGAAAATGCCGCCCTCTAAGTCCCACAACTACCCCAACCTTATAGAGCCTGGGGTTCCCCAAGCCAGGCTTTGCATCTTCTCAAGGCTGCTTGCTTCTGGCTCCTATAGCTGTTCCTGGTGGGGCCCATGGGAGCTGGCGCAGGCCGAAGTCCAGGTTCCCAGCGGAACGCCACCAAGGGACTCTGATCCCAGAGGGTAGGTAGAAGATCAGGAAGGAGGTCGGTAACACTCATACATTGGGGCGATAATAGGGTCCGCCTTGGGTTCTAAACAATAGACAGAGGCCGAGAGTTAGGAGTTACAGGGTGCCGAGGAGGCGAGAGCAGCCGTGAGGAGGGAGAGGAAGATTCCGGCAGACCCTCTCAAGACTGGGACCCAGCTCCCCTTGACACTGTCGTGTCCCCAGCACTCTCAGCGTTGCTCGCCCGCACCAGCTATCCGTGTGGCCGTTCCCACCGGGCCACGCTCAGTCGTAGTCACACACACACACACACACACACACACCCCAGATCAGGTCTGCCCCACCCTCTCAGTTCTGATTGTGCAGTGTGTGAAGTGGGGTGGAAGGCTGAAGGGTGAGGAGGTGGGGTAGTTTTAGAGAGGGTCCAACTCCTCCAAACCCCTCCCTCCCTTAGCTGTCCTTCAACCCTAACCTCTCCTGTCTTCACTGTTCATCTCTTTTAGCAGAAGATGCGGGGCCACTCTTGGTCCTAAGCAGTTCCCGTAGAGGGGCACCCAGTAGACTCCTAGTGCCACCAAAGCTTCAACTTCCCACCTTCCATCCTTTTCTCTCTTAAAACCTGCCTTCGCCCAGTCATTTTTTTCGGTAAAGGACCTCAGAAGTCTCAGGATGACAAGGCTGACAATTAATTAGACCTGGGAAGAAGGGGGATTCACGTCATCAGGGAAGCATGCCTGGCTTACCTTAAAGTATGCAGCTCTAATAGTAGACTTTTAGGCAGGGGTGGAGGGAATTTAAATACCCTTGAGAGGGGATCTCCTGGTTCTCTTCCTATTTATCCCAGAGGCCCAGAGTGTTACTCCCCACTCCCCAGGGGTGTCCGAGGGTCCAATGGCCTCCAGCTGGGTCAGGTGCGGCAAGGCTAAGAACCTCAGTCTCCAGCTGCTCTGCGAGGATCAACGCAGTCCTGCAGTCGTCCCAGGGCTGGCGCGGAGCGGTGCTAGAGCCAGCGCCTCCCGCACTTGCTGACCACCCACAGGCCGTCCTTGAGGCGAGAATACTGGCTCGGAGCTAAAGGAACGACGTTGGTGGGCAGGGGTTCCCCACAGCAGTAGGGGAATGAGGTCCCCAAAGTCGCTTGTAAATCTCTACTTGGTAGGGAAGGAGGAGGGGCCTTCATTGGAACGTGGAAGGCCCAGGGGCCCCGGCTAGAAGCAACATTTGCGCCGTAAACGCAGTTTTTATTTAGATTACCCCTTTGTAAGGGTTGGCTCAGGATGGTCTGATAGCGATTATAGGAGAACTTCGCCTACCAAGTCACCTCCTGGTGCTGCTACTACGCCGCAATTCGCGCGGAGCCCACGCCTTACTAGCCGCCTTACTAGCCGAAGATCTGAGAGGCGCGCGAGGCTGGGGCGGGACCTGGCGGTGGAGGGTGGGGCTCTCAGGCGGGGCCTAGGCTAACTGCGTGGAGCACAGGGTCCCAGAACGCCGAGGAGTGAAGCAGCACGAGAGACGGGATCACGCTCTCCCAGCCCTCCCACCAAGCTTCCGCGCCTTTCCCTCACCGCGCCTTTCCCTCACCGTTGCCCCTGCGGATCCTTGCCGGGAGCGATCCTTGCCGGGAGCGATCGGCAGCCATGCAGCCCCGGGGCAGAGGCGGCCTCTTGGCGAATACCACGTCTCCGCGATCCGGGCAACGACGGTGCATGGAGAACTTCCGTAAGGTGCGCTTGGAAGAGGCGCCGGGGACAGTCGGGACTGAGGGGGGCGGCCCAGGCTCTAGCCCCTTCGCCAATTTGGCGCCGTGCGCTGTGTACATGCGGGTCAAGGAGGGCAGTAAGATCCGAAACCTGCTGGCCTTCGCCACTGCCATCATGGCTCAGCCAGCCACGCGTGCCATCGTCTTCAGCGGCTGCGGTCGGGCCACCACCACGACCGTCCCGTGTGTGGAGATCCTCAAGCGCCGCCTGGCTGGCCTACACCAGGTCAGCTGCACTACCGGAGCGTGTGCGAGGTTTGGCAGAGCCTCCCACTAGTGCCCACGCCCGGGCAGAAGTCTAGCGAGCGGGGCTCCAGTCTCGGTGTACTTAAGAACGTGTCCAGCCTCGCCATCCTACTTTCCAAAGATGCACTGAATCCACGCCAACCCAGCTACCAGCCCCCGAGTCCCCATTCTGGCTCCTTGTCCCAACCAACCGCGGTGAAGACCAAAAGGAGCCTCGTGGAACCCCTGGCTGGAGAAGGCCCAGAGAAGCGGTCACAACCTCAGCCAGGTGTTGCGGAAGAGGACCAGATGGCCTGAGAACTCCAAACTCTGAGCCAACTAGACGGCCTGAATTTTACACCCAGCTCCTCAGCCTTGAGATACACCTCCAGCTGTTCACGCCTCCATCTTCTGGGGCTCACAGCCTGGTTTCAGCTCCTCAGACTGCGATCATGAACCCCACTGCCACAAGAGAAGGACCCTAGGGAAGCTTTGTGGGGCAGTTGACCCTCCACTTGTGTTAACCCGAAGATGCAGAATTCCACCTTCAGCACTGCTGAGCCCTACTGGGACCTTCTTCAGGGAGGGAATGGTGGGCAGTGGGACTCTTGAGCCTTGCCCAAGGACCCACAAGGTTAAGGCCACCTAGCATTCATGGATGTGGAAGGTGATGGAAGCTCTTGGAATCATCCTCATCCATTGGCAGCAGAGGGCAAGGAGTGAAAAAGACTGGGGGCCAGGGGAGCCCCATTCTTCCCCTTACCCCCCAGGACAGTTTACCTTTCCTTCCCCTGTTGTAAAGGAGCATTCTGAGATCGTGGTGGCAGAGGCAAAGCTACAGGCTCTAGCTCTTTTAACATCCCCTCTGCCCCAAGCTGGTCCATAAGGAAGAGACCCAGGACAAAACTCTCTGCCTCCTCCCTTGAGCCCTGTAGCTGGAGTAAAACAAATAAAAATGCTCTGTCCCATATTTTTCCCTAACTACTTGCCTGTGCAAAAGACAGCTCTGACCCCCTTGTGTCTCAGTCCCCTCCAGCCTGGGATCCTTAACCGTTGGCGTCTTCAGGGTCAGGCACAGAGACTGGACAGCTTCAAAATGGTGCAAGAGGCACATTGCCCAGTCCCTCTCTTCTTTGTCCCTTTCCAGCCCTCCCTGGCTGTCTCTGGCTTCTGGGGCTTGTGGCTAGAAGGCCTGTCTCCCCCTGTGCATTACCACTAAGGAAAAGAAAGTAAGTAGCACATTGCTTTTCTGGGAGGGGAAGGAAAGAGAATATCCATGAACTCCCCTGGGGTGTGGGGGTCACTGCCAAGAGTAACAGACCTTACTGGGGTCCTAAACCTACAGCCTCCTGCCAACAGACGAAGCCTTATCCAGAAAGCTGGCACAAAGCCCCCATCCCTGTGGGTAGGATTTCCCCTTCATTGCGCTCTCTCTCTCTCTCTGAAAAAGAACAGCACACCCTTGGGAGAGGGGGAGGAGAGAGACTGAGCATAAATCCACGACTGGAAATTACTATTCAGCAGAGAAGTTGGGACTTGGGCTGTGAATCAGGCTCCCTGATAAGCTGTTGCCTCCAGCCCTGCACAACTGCCTGTTGAGATAACAGCCTCTTAAGCCTCTCTGCCCAACTTCAAGTCAGCTAGGGGAGGGGTGAGTGCTGTGTGCTAGAACTGTGGCAAATGGGAGTTGGGGGGCACATAGCCCAGGATCTCAGAAGCACACCTTACCCCCATGCAGCTCCATAGCACTCTGGAAAGGAGGAGACTGGGAGGAATGTAAGTCAATTTGCTGGCAGGACCCTGAAATAAATCCTTCTGGTTATAAGAGGTAGGTTTCTGCAGCTGACAGGAGTCCCCATCCCCCTTATATCTCTGCTTGAGCTTTGGATCAGTGAGCTGTGCCATCTAGACTCTGGCACTGGCTGCCTTCCCCAATTTATTGTTCTTGAGTCCCTGGGGAGGGCCAAGGGGGTTCGGTGTAATTGTTAACCCTCTCAGGGGTGGCCCCAAAAGGGTGGAAAGAATGTAAATTGTCCTAACAACGAAGGAACTCTGGGCTTCTTCATCTAAATGATAAAACTTGAAAGAGGTAGAAGCTTAAGGGAACTTGGTCTTGGTTGTGAAAAGGGCCAACTCTCCAAGACCACCAGTGTCTGAAGTCCTGATTGCCAGTCACAAGGACTAATCAAACAGAGGCTTTCTCTTTTGATGGCAGGTCAAGTAAGGCCCCTTCTAGCTTGGAAACTCCTCCTGAGAGGGATATGCCATTGCCCCACTTTCAGAATGTTAACTGGCCCTCATGGAGGGTTGTATCTGCCTCATGCCGGAAAGCATGTTATAAAACTGGCTTTTTTCTTCACCCCCACTTCACCCCAGAAGGTTTGTTTCCCGGACTTTTGATAGGTGCCTTCACCCACAAGCACCCCATTCCTGCCTTACTGATCCACTGAACCAGGAGCAGGTTCCAAAGGAAGATGGCAGATATCCATGTACACCTCCCCCAAGGCGGAGGTGAGACCCTGAGAAGTGCTGGAATAAAGAGAGTTGCTAGGGGAGCACCTCAGAGACAGTCCAATTTGGGAGCCAACTAGTAACAGGATGAGGAAGTGGGAAGCCCCCTTCCAATAACCCCATCTTTCCAATAGTGGCCTCTATCCAGGAGCTTTCTGGGTCCTGCTTTTGGGTACTTGTAGGCTAGGGATGGCAATGAAGGCTCACACCCTCTAAACTGTCAGGTCACACAATCAGAATCCATTTGTGAACATAAATGTATATAATCCAAGGCTCTAGCCTGTGGTCAGAGGGGCAATGGACCACCAGGTGGGTATTCAGAGACTTCATTGTTGTGCCAGGTCTCAATTTGGGCATGGGGTGGGACTGGGGGTGAGAATCAGAAGAATCAGACACTGTTTCTGCCTTAAGGAGGCCCCAGTCTAGTGGAGAGAAAGAAAAGAAAGTTACAAAAAGAAAAAGAAAAAGTTCCAGCACAGTGCCATGGTAGTGGGAGAAGGTGGGAGCTCTGAGAAGGAATACTTAACTCACCCAGAGGGGCTGATGGCACTGGTTCCCCAAAGACCAGAAGGTCTGAACAGGGAATTTCAGGCAGAGCACAGAGAGGTGATGCTGTGTCTGGTGTTGAGGCAGCCTCAAGTCTCTGAAGGACATAAGCATCTGAAGGATACATGGTAAGAGGCAGGTGGAACTGGAATACCAGGTAGGAGCCAAGCCACAGAGAAGTCACAAGGAAGTGGGGAGCCAACAAAAGCTAGGAGTGCCCTGGTCTGTTTGGTGTTTGAGAAGGATCCTACCTGGATCCCAGAGACTACAGGGAGGTAAGAGATGGGACAGTGGTAGCAAGGACAGAGATGGGACAGATTTGGTAGTATTTCACTGTCATTACAGCCAGGATGAAGGGGGGCTTCTCCTTGTGGCATTATCCCTAGTTGGCCAGGACTTGGCCTGCCTTCCTGGCATGCCAGGAGACATGCTATGTAAGGGCTAAACAATAGAGGGATTTTGTGGGGGTGAGAGGTAGAGTCCACAGTTTCAAATTGGTAAAAGCTTTAGGAGCTGTTATCTTTTACAGTAGGGGGGAAACCAGAGTCAGACACACTCCCTCCCCCACACCCACACCTATTCCACCCCTTCCCTCCATCTCCCAGCCCCAACCCTATTAGTTGGGCAGTTTGGGTCATTGCTATGTCCACGTTGGCCACTAGGGATATTCTAGTTCTCTCAATTTCACTGAGATGTTGAAACACTCCAGGTCTCCCAGAGAGAGGGGTAAATGGAAGGAAAGAAGAAAGGAAGGAAAGAAGGAAGTATAGCCATAGAAGGGTCTCCTTGGTGATGCCAGGTTTCTTCTCAGAGCACAGATCTTAGTTTGTAATTGTGCCCTCATTAGTGTGATTATCTGGTTGTCATTTACCCCCACTGAACCAGAAACCTGTGATTGAATAAATCCTACCTGCCTTACTCCCTACCCAGCTCCTGGCACGTGGAAGCTTACAGAGAGCTGGTGACTGAATGAGTAGACTGGCTGAGCCAGATTTCTGAACTGTTTGGATGTCATATTAAAGTCCTTAACTGTCCAGCCCAATGGACAGTGGCCAAAGCTTTCCTATCCTCACCACAGCCTCCTTTCCCATCTAGGCCCTTGGGTCCTCCCTGCTCTTTGAAAAAGCTAGGTCACCATGGTGATTAGGTTTGGATACCCAACTTGAGGATTCTAGTGGGATTTCTGATACCCCCTGATTATCACAGATATTATGAATTGAATTGTATCTCCCAAAAGATATGTTAAAGCCCTAACCACTGGTCCTGTGAATGTTACCTTATTTGGAAATAGGACGTATATAGATGTAATTCATATGTAAAATGATGTCATACTGAAGTAGGATGGGTCCTTAATCCAAGATGACTGGTGTCCTTATAAGAAGAGAAGAGACAGAGACAGACACAAAGGGAAAACCAACACATCAAGACAGAGGTAGAGATTGAAGTTATGCAGTTACAAGCTAAAGAATGCCAAAGATTACCAGGAAACAACAGAAACTAAGAAAAGGGCATGGAACAGAGTCTTCCCTAGAGCATTCCTAGAGCGTATAGTACTGCCAACATCTAAATCTTGGACTTCTACCTTCCAGAACTATAAGAGAATAAATTTCTGTTGTTTTAAGTCACTTTGTTACAGCAGCCTTAAAAAAATAAATACAATAGGTATTCTCACCACCTTCAGTGGAAATAAGAAAAAGTAACAGGGGGTGTTTGCCAAGGTCCTTCTTATCAGAATTTCTAGTTCTGAATGGAGGGAGGTTCTCTACTCTGCAAGCAAATGTAATGCCTGGTGTCATATTGAACATATCACAGGCTTTGGAAGAAGAAAGGCTGATGGTGATTTGGGGCAAGTTATTCTCTGAGCCTCAGTTTTCTTATCTGCAAATTGTGCCAAATTGCTGTGGGATAAGGGATATAATACCAGGCTTCCGATCTTGGTTCATCATCAGAATTACCTAGGACACTTACTATTGTTATTTTTTTTATTTTGAGAGTGCATTGATTAAAGCTGAGGACAATAAAACAAGAGAGTTCAGGATAGAAGAAGCAACAGGAGAGAGCCTAGGTGGGGCTGTTTTGATTCTCTGAAAATGTTATAGGAAAGAAATGAGCCTGGGGCAAGGCTGCTTTGGCTCGCTGAAAAGTCAGAGAAAAGAGGACCTTGGAGACAGGTTCAGAGGGTTAGCCCAGGATGAGCTAATGCTGCCCATTGCTCCCTGGTTGTAAGTCTCCTTCTCCTGGGGACCCTTAGAGCTTGGGAGATTCTCGTGACTATGGAGGAAGGAATGGCAAAAAGGAAAGGTGCAGGCATGCTCCCAGGAGGGAGTGTAATCCTAGGACATTTATTAAAAATACAGATTGGCTCAGCCAGTGTGGCTAAATGGATTGAGTGTCGTCCCATAAACTGAGAGGTCCCAGTTTGATTACCAGTCAGAGGCTTGATATCTCCCGGGGGTGGGGGGGGAGCATGCAGATGGCAGCCAATTGATGCTTCTCTCCCACATCAATGTTTCTATCTCTCTCTCCCTCTCTTTCTAAAAAATAAAGACTTTTTTTTTATTACAAAATACAGATTGTTGTTCTTTTTTTTTTTTTTATCCTCACCCGAGGACATTTTTCCACTTTTTGATCAGATAGAGCAGGAGGGAGAGAGAGGAAGAGAGAGAGAAACATCGATGTGAAGGGACACACCAAGTGGCTGCCACCCGCACGACCAGCCAGGGCCGGGGACAAACTGCAACCGAGGTACGCGCCCTTAGCGGGAACCGAATCCGGGTCTCTCTGAACCGCAGGCCGACGCTCCAACCGCTGAGCCAAACCGGCCAGGGCCAGATTGTTGTTCTTGCCAGTTTGGCTCAGCAGTTAGAGCATCAGCCTGCAGACCAGAGGGTCTTGGGTTTGATTCC